TATATATATATTGTTGAGATTATGATATCAATTTCATCTTTCACCTTTTTCTTTTCTTAACGTGTGTCATAAAAAAAATTACCACTTAAAAGTTAAAATTTCAAGTATTTTTTTGTGTTATATAAAGGAACAAATTCAACTACATAGAATAAAATAAAGTAAGTCAATTAAAGAGAACGAACAGAAAAATAAAACAAGTCAATGACACTATCATTTACATATTAGAGTTTCACAAAATAGGAGAATGGTATGAGAATAGTATTATATATGAGCAATGAACAATAGTGTAGTATTATTAGTAGAGAAAAAATGGAGAAGACAGGAGCATAGAAAAAAAAGATGAAAAACTCACTTGAAAATTCTTAAAACACTTGAAAAATCATTTCAAACAATCCTTCAAAATCCGATGGGTTTGGATGAGATTGTTTTATGAATCTAGTATTTATAGATAACACTAGAAAGTCCTTCAAAATCTCTCTCACACAATAATCCTTTAAAATCCTTATATTTTTGAATACCAATGGATTGTTTTTAAGTTGTAAAAAATCTCAAATGAATACCAGTGGATTTTAATGGACTCTTTAAAAAATCTTGAAAATCCTGATTGAATACCACTGAATTGTTTTTAAGTGACATAAAATCCTGATTGAATACCAATGAATTTTTTTACTCAAAAAAAGTCTTTTAAAATCCTACGAAATCTTAAACCAATACACCCCCCTAAATTTTGTTCAAGTATTTTATGTTAGTGTATCTCTTATAAGAAAATTCTTGTGAGAGGATAAACACATATAATCTTGTTTTTCTTTTTTTTGAAGTTTTGGTCTCTTTAGTATATCTAAAAGTCTAAAACTGTGGAAAGAAAAATAAATCCTAAATTAAGGGTGATCTTATAAAAAATTTAACTATAATCAAAATTAATTGGTTTTATAATAATTAATTAATTAAAAACTATTGTAAAAAATAAATAGTTTTATAATAATTGGTTAATTAAAAACTATGGTAAAAAACAAACGTTTATTTTTTAAGTTAAAATTCTGTTATATATACTTTTTGATCGGTCGACACTGGAGGAGGGTCAGTCGGAACTGACGAAGTGCGTCGGAACTGGAGAAGCGTCTGACAGAGACGCTGAAGAAGACGACCGGAGTGCGTCGACGGTCGTCCCCGAGAGAGAAAGAATCGAGTCCGAGAGAGAGAGGAGAGGGAGTGCGAGACGTTCAGAAACCAACAACAATGGTTCCACGAGAGGGAGAGGAAGAATTAGGGCAAGAAAAACCCAAAAGAAATGACGGACTTACCCTAAATGAAGGGTCTGTCCAAGACGCGGCGCGATTCCGCTGTTTTTGGCCGCTCCGCTCCACGACCGAGGCGGCCGCTCCAGCCGCGACAGAAATCCGAGACGCGACAACATCACCATTGCGGCGTCGGGCCGCTCCGCTCCACTGGCCGCGATTGACAACAATGCTTCAAACTCCTCATTTTCCTCTTCTTTGTATTCTGTAGTGACTGTTCCATGGTCTTCCGTACGGGCTACTTTCGATTTTTTTTTTTATACCAAAAAGGCACTAATATTTTATTGTGTGAATTGGAAAGCAGGGAAGGAGGAGCAGCCTAGGGATGATGTTGTTGTTGAAGATGAAACTAATGGCGGGTTTCTATTATATCTTCATATTTAGATATAGTTTATGATCCTGATTCAGGTTCTGACTTTGAAGGTAAATTGTTTGACTCTCTGATTTTAAACTCTGAATATCTTAATGTCATTGCATGTCTAGTAGTTTGAGTTTTTCTTGTCACGATATTTCTTGGTCACATTCCTCTCTCAAGTTTCCTTTATTTTTTTTACACATAATTCTTGATATATAGATCATAGGGTTTGATTCTTTTATTAGATACTAGGTAAAATGAACATTGCTGCTTGGGCTAGCAAAGAAGAGGTGGATAAGGATGCATTCACTTCCTTGAAAACAAAAGCAGAACCACCTAAGAGTGTCATTGAAGCACGTGTAGTAACATGGGAGGAAGCTGAGAAGGCCAAGTATATATGGCCAGGTCAGTTCATACTGATTATTGATGTTAACATTATCTGTAACTTCTGTTGCTTTAAAGATGTAAATCCATTAACATGCCCAATTATTCATAATTAAATTAAATTTCATCAAGTAAAGGGTGCTGCTCAAATAAAGCTTGCATGAGGGGCCTGTGACATCTCATCTCAAAGATATAAAACTATTACAGTGCATTCACTTAATAGCTGAAGCTTTCAAGAGCACTGGACTTTATCAATTGTCTATTTATTTTTGCTACAAATAGACCCATGAATATTTGTCAAAAGAATCTGGACCTGCCATTTTCTTTAGGTGTTGTAAAAAGTAATATTTCTACTACTTTTCTTCTGTAAGTAGCATTTTGTAAAGCTTTTTCATGTTTGCGGATTCCCCTGGTTTCTTGATGATAAGCTACCTGGATTTTTATGTTTGGTTTGATTCTTTTTTTAGATATTACTTTTGAGTTTTGATTAATATTTTTTTCTTTTATCTTTTTTGTACATAACAAATAGATAATGGTTGCAATTATTTTTCTCTTAAATTCCAAATAATTTTTCAGTTTCATTTTTTTTTTCATTTAGGGTTTAGATGGATATGTATTTTTTAAATAACTCCTAGAATTCCAGTCAAAGACAAAAAAATTGGTTGAGTGTCTGTTAATCAACTTAATCTAATAGTCCTTAGTAAAGGTTTCTGGTTTGGTTGTTAATCTGTTTTGTCTTTGATATGAAGCAGGGGAACTGAAACCATGGATAAAATACTACCTTCCTCTCAGGTTGATAACAGACAGGGTGAAAAGCCAAAGAAGAAAAGGAAAGAACGGTCTAAGAAGGAGGTGCTTCCGGTTGCTACTGATTCTTACCATAACAATCTTGTTAATCTGCACACGGTTAATGAGTGAGTTTTTCTTAATTAACTTCTGTTTATAACTGGATAGTACTTGTTTGCTGTTTTTTTTTAATAGAATAACCGTGCAACATGATATATATTTGATAATGAAGAAGTTAAAAAATACTCTTCATGTGCTGCACATGCAACAGCAATTCACAAATCAGTCTTTTCAGCAACAGAGGTACCATAATTGGTGCTTATGTTAGTAGTACAATTAGGTTGGCCATCCTAATGAAATGTTTTGAGAGAATACATGTGATTCACATTTCACAGGAATTCTGTTAGGGGCCTAAATATAGAAGAGTATGATGGAAAAGATTAGAAGAGTTTCCCCCAAAATGGACCAAAAATGGACTTCTAGCCATGATACTACCCTCTATATATTCCCCTTTCCACATAATAGGCTCCCTCACCCCATAACATGTCTAATTATCCATGCACACCCTCATCTCATTATCAGACCTAACAAATTATACTCGTTGTGAAATATCCACATGCTTATACAAGTATAGCAAAGGAATTTATGGTTCCCATGGAATTTACCTCAATATAATATGCACTTGGTGCTTCATAAAATTGTTGTGGATGAAGTATTTTTTGACTTGAGTGTTATCCTGTTTCATGGGGGTAAATCATTGTTATATATATTATATATTATGTTATGCTTGGAAGAGGAGTGGGATTACTAGACTGCAGGTGTATGAAAGCCAAAGGAGGAATAAGGGGCAGAATTTGTTAAGAGAGAAATTTGTGAATAACAACCAGGCTAGCTGGTATACTTGGAGTGAGTAAAAGAATGGAATTCTAGTAAAAGACCAAAATGGAAGGAAGAGGTAAGATAAAGTGATGGAACCAGAGGAGGAAATATAAAGGTTCTGCATATTTGCTGCATCTATGTGCATTTGTTTTTTGTTCTACAGTTGTTTTTTTAGGTGGTTTACCTCTGTGGTAAGGAGCAAACTCCAAATTTTCTCTTCACATATTATAAGTTTATACTTCATATTTATTATTTTACTTAAATATTCATGCATATTTTCCTATTAGTTGTGGCAGCTGTTGGCTTGAAGATCCCACATGATGTCTCACAAGATTACACTATTTTAGTTGTCCTAGGTACGTGCCAAATTCCATAATGTTTTTCTTGCCATCTCTAAATTTAACTTGAATGTAGTATCTATCCAGTAAGGGGAATGGAGCGTACACAATTTTTTGTTAAAATTATTTATAAATCATACTGAAGTGCAGTGCCCATCTGTTTTGTTTTAATTTTCTCAGTTTTTTAATTTTCTATGCTAATCTTGTAATGTTTCTACCATGCTAATCTTGGGCATTTCTTATGCTTAAAACCTAGTAGTTCTATCAATAAATTCATTTTATTAATAGTTTTTATTTATTTATTTATTTATCAATTTAGAGTTTAATTATTTATTTTAAATGTCAATCTTTTATTAATATTTTTATTTTTTACTACAAATATTTTATATATCTTAAAAATATGAATTAAAACTGATATAATAAAAATTTAATGAAATTAGTAGATAAAATATTATCCATTACTTAACATCCCTAAATTATTTGAAGATATAGAAAAAATATATTATCCACCAAAAACAACAAAAGAAAGAAAATAGTTAAAAAAATTAACAAATAGTATCCACATAAAATATAAAAAATATTATTAACACTAATCAATTTAAGATGAAATTGATAATTAATTTTCATTAATAATTATTTAAATATTTTAATCTAATTATTTTTTTTATTCAAAGGTTTAACTAATTAATAACAAATTAGATTTCTGAAAAAATTTAAAGGAATTCAATTACTAAAATATTTGTATTAAAAAATTTATAAAGATATAGAATATGTTTATTTTTATTTATATATTAATATCTTTATCTTTATATTTTAAAAAAGAGCGAAAATTAAAAATGCATGAAAATTACTGGACATATATTAATTAGGAAGTTGTTATTTCAAAGATGGAAGAGTTTTGATACATTCTCTTGTGTAAACTAATAAAAAAAATCAAAGAAAAATTAACCAGAAACCTAAAGTACAGGTAAAAAAAAATATACTAATGGCATTTACAGAAAATTGAAAATATGAATGAAAGACTTGATCTAACTATGAAAAAATTGATAAAAAAATATAACAACTATACTAGAAATTATAAATAAAATTGCACATTTTACCTATAATAAAATAGAAAAAGAATTGGATAAAATTAATAATATAAAGCAAATATTAAAAAATATTAGCCAAGAAAAATTACAACTAAAAATAATAAAATTAGGAAAAAAAGTATTCATTTATCCTAAATGTTTTTTTTATTTTATTTTATAAATAGGCACTTAAATGTTAATTTTATCCTCATAAATCTTAAAATTTATCTTGTTCTAAAATTAATATGATAAAATTTAATTTTGTCTCAATTACTCCTTAAAATTTATTTTTTAAAAAATAATAAACACTTACAATTTTAATTTCATTATAATTATATTTATCATTTATCATTTTACAACTATTTTTTTTAATTAATTTAGAGTTTAAGTAATTATCTTAATGTCGATCATTTATTAATATTTTTATTTTTAATTACAACTATTTTATATGTAATAAAATATCAATTAAACTGACTAATAAAAATCTAATGAAATCAGGAGATAAACTATTATACATTACTTAACATCCCTAAATTATTTGAAGATATAGAAAAAATATATTATCCATAAAAACAATTAAAGGAGAAAAGAATTAACAAATATTATCCACTTAAAATATAAAAAATATTAATAAGAAATATTCCACATTTACTCTTCATTAGATATGAACATTGTTTTTGCATGGTTTGTTTTCCTCAGACTCAATCCATTTGTCTCATAACATAAGATATGAACATAGTTTTTGTATTTATTATTCGATGTGTGCCTTTAAATGTCTTAACTCAAAATGGCAGGGCTTCTTGAGTTTTGAGGCAAGGTTTTTCAATTTTTTTTCAGTTCTACAGCTTTAGCCTTCAGAGCACCTTTTTAACTTCTCTTGCTGAAGAATAAGTTCCAAGTTTTTTATTAGTTTCATTATTTTAAAAAAATTATTTTATTGTTTGAGCTTGAGAATTCTATCATACATTCTTTTGTCTAAGAAAGTTGTTTTGTCACACAGATGATTAGGTGCTTTATAAAATTTATAATATTATTTTTTCCATGGTTAAAGTATTAGCTAAATAGTTCTTTGGCAGACAACTTGAGAGGGTGATGCAAAAATGAAAGCCTTGTTTGCAATTTTTTGGAAGAGAGGAAAAATTATATTTATGCCTTTTAAGGAACATAGTTGTGGGAGAGAATTAGGGAGCCCACAAGAATGAAAGATCAACCACAATGAAAGGAGGGCTAATATATCCAGGCTTGGTCCAAAACTAAGCCTGAAGGTTAGATGTAGAACATTATTTCATAGGGGATAGTCACCCAAGTAATCAAGTGATCTAACCGTCATTATTTAGGCCTTAAAAGGAATTTTTTTAAGTAGTTAACTAGTTAGGTAGCTATAAATTGAAGCAGAGAAAAATGTAAAGGAAATCAGTTAACTGGTTGCAAGAAAGGGTCACAAGAAAAACAATTAATATGTGCCTCTATAAAAATAAATGACGGTAAAAGTAAACTCATTTTCTGTTTTGAAGTTGTTTGCTATGCCATATAGTGTGTCTTAACTCTGTTTAGAAATGTTCTCCTCAAATTTGTTTTCAATTTTCACTCATTTTCTGTTTTGAAGTTGTTTGTATGCCATATAGTGTCTTAACTCTGTTTAGAAATGTTTTCCTCAAGTCTGTTTTCAATTTTCCTTTCTTTCCATTCTGTAGATTTTCTATTGGAGAGCTTGAAGTTCTATCTTGAGTTGAGACAAATTTCTATTGTATAAAATTAGGTTTGTATTGCAAAAACTTATTAAACATACAAGGATTGGATGATTGTTAAAATACCTTGTTTTGATATGCTTCTTCAAGAGTTAGGGCTTGATAAAAAGAGTTTGTTCTTTGTTAAATGGTAAAATAAATTGAGTGCTTGATTGCAGCCTATCTCTTGGTAAAATGTAATAGCAAGTCTTTGCAAAATTGATTTTATTCAAAATTAAATTTAAAGGAATGTGATTTATTTTTCGACCTTTTATTTAAAAGGAAGTTAGTAGGAAAATTTAGTATAATATTTTTATCGAAAACAAAAGCTACCTAAAGTTCCTTCAACTGAAAATCAGTTTATCAACCGGAAATCAAATATATGAATTTTGTTTAAAATCTTGTTTTGTATTTCAATGGAGAATTGCACATGCATGTACTTACTGGGATTGCTCTGCCTATTCTCTCTGAATTAAGATGTCTCACTCAAGCTAAGAATATGGCTAGAACATTCCTTTGAAGACTTGGACAATCCTCTTCCCTCAAGCTAGTATTGGATCACTTGAAAATGTTCACTCCTACAAATAGCGTATACTAGATGTGTAGTTCTAGGTGTAAGATGTGTTTGTTAAAATGCCCTACATTGGCTAGGAATATGGCTAGACTACTCCTTATCGCAATTTGTCAATCATCTTCCCTTGAGTTGGCTTTTTGGGAGTGAGTTAAGCTAAATTTGTTTCTAATGCCATTCATTACCAGATTTCCTTAATTTTTTTTTTATCAATATTATTTCTTAGATATTAATAGCCATCTACTTGCTTTTTCTTGCTTTTTAAAGGATAGGAATTTGGTCCCCCAAATTGAACCAAACAATAATTGAGAGAGCTATGAAGGGAGATGAGATGGAATGCATGAAGGGTGAGGCTAATCCAGCCCTGAGTTAATTTAAATCTTGCAGTCTATTTATGCTTAAAACTTCTATTATAATTATATTGTTTCAGCATCTGTGAAACTTGTGAAGTGAAAAGAATGATCATAAAAATATATAGTATGAAGTTGAAATACCATGTGGCTGCAAATAGAAATCCAAAAATGATTGCAAGAAATGTATATTTGTTGAAGCATGTATTTGACAAGCTAAGTCAATGATGATGGATGTATGGTTGAAGGTATAAGGTTTAAGGTTGTGGCTGAAATATTTTTTGACTTTTGAGTGGTATCCTGTTTCACAGTGGTCAATCATTGTTACATATATACATATACACACACATACACACATATATAAACATATATTATATTATGCTTGGAAGAGGAGTGGGCTTACTAGGCTGCAAGTGTATGAAAGCCAAAGGAGGAATAAGGGGTAGAATATGTTGAGAGAAATTTGTGAATAAAAACCAGGCTAGCTGGTATACTTGGAGTGAAAAAAAGAATAGAATTCTTGTATAACACCAATATGCAAGGAAGAGGAAAGATAAAGTGATGGAGCGAGAGGAGGGAGAGAGTGGCACTTGAGGTTTAAGGAGAGGTTTGGATGAGGGTTCTGCATACCTGCTGTATCTATGTGCATGTTTTTTGTTCTACAGTTTTCTTTTTAGGATTTTACCTCTATTGAAAGGAGCTAGACTCCAAATTTTCTTAGTCAATCTAATTCTTGTTTATGTCTTTTGATTGCATACCCCCACTTCCTTTAGTGGTTCAGGATAAGTATTTTGAGTCTAGAAAACATAGCACCAAAAGCATTATTAAGAGGGTGAGGTGATAAAATATTTTTATGCAAAAATTGGTTTTCTTTAAGAATTGGTTACATGAGATGACTATTAATTTAAAGTTATTCATAAAGTTGCAATTGTATAGGAAAGACAAATGGCTTTTAGAAAGAGTCCTTAGAATAATAAGAAACTATCATATTTTAGTACTGTTTTGATTGAGAATTGGTTAATACATTAAAATTTATTTGAATTTAGATAGGAATCTACTTTAAGCATAATATAAAGTAACTTTAAACTAAAATCCATAATAGTTTGGAATTGTTATTTAAGGAAGTTTTAAAACACTAAAATAAATTGACAATTTTTTCTTTCTTTCTCTCGATCTTTATTTGAGGATGTTTGGATACAAGCTTAGAAGAGTTTTTGTAAGCTTCTCTACTGAAAAATTTTCAGTAGGGAAACCCTCAGAACTGCTTTTAATTTGTATCCAAATAGACTCTTTATATTCTTAGGTTGTATGGTTTAGGGTGAAATTTTAAGTCACAACAGCTTTCGGTTTACATTCTGAGATCTTTTGCTGGTGGTTTTTGCCTAGTCTATTTGCCATCAGAGCCTTCGTGCACTGAAGCACACACCCTATGTGAACTATAAAGCTTACCCTGTCTCTGAGTGTTTAGGGAAGGGAATTCACAGTTACACTGCTTCAAAAACCAACTTTTGCTGTAGCAATTATGAGTATCATTCCTGTGTATACAAAGCGGGGAAGATGCACTTTTAGGTTTGACTGAGACTTTATATCTGGAATCAATTGTTGATTCCATGTGAATCCTTGGATCAAAGTCTTTTGAATTGTGTTCTTTTCTACATGTGGTTTCCTCACGAGGGAAACACATATGCTTGGGTTTTGGGTGGAGGCTGGCATCAGTTTTGACTGTTTTGTATTGGCGATGGCATTGGGTCGTATTCTAGTCTCCACAGTATTGCTGTTTGTCTAAAATGTGAAAATTCAATCCTGATGTGAGAACTGTGTCATTGTTGCATTAAATCTACTTTCTGGGTCATATTGGTTGTTTTCTGGAATGCTATCAACTTCTAAATTATGCATTGATAAACTTATGCAAATGCTAGGTAACAAAATTGCAATGGTGTCCTGTTACTTCAATCCTATCCGTACTAGCTCTCATCTCATTTCTGCAGATTTATCTAGAAAATTCAAGATTCCAAAGCTTCTTCACAGGGTAACTTTTTTGAGCTGATATTTGTTGTCTTGGTGTCAATCTCTTGCTGATAAGTTCTCCCTTTAAAATATTGTAATTTCTTTTGGTAGCTTTTCTGGTGATATACTTAATAACATGAACATGCGTTGCACTTAAGGTTAATTGTCTGCATGTAGTTTTTTGTTGTTATGCCTGTATTTTGATTTTTTTTAATAAATGATGTTACTTACAGACAATAAAATAAACAATTTAAACTTTTTGGAAGACATGATAAATCATTGAATTGAGAGAGCCTGATGTTCTACATTAAAATGCATGGGCTATTACTTATTTCATAGAAATGGAAACAGATAAAGCTACAAAGTTGAGGCCTAGAATTGCAAAGTTTCCATTGCCTTATGGGGATTTCCAGTATTGAAGTTCAAAACATTTTCTTTAAAGAAGCAAAATATAAATTTCAATCCTGCAAGGAATGTAAATATCTAATAGGTAGAAAGTTGGAAATGGTGAGGCTCTGTAGTGAGAGTTTTTTTTAGGATAAATATGTTTTGTCAGTTCTCTATTGGGATAGCATCATATCTTAACATAGAAAATTGTAAAGAGGTCTGTTTCTAAATTATTTGAGCAAGCTAAATAAATTTCACTATTAGCAATGGATCTTTTTTTTTATTAAAAAATTAATTTTTTTTAATCTTTTTATAGATTTGAATTTATTTTATATGATTGCTGAATCCTGATTTCTAACAGGAGATTTCTTTCCTGAGACAATTTCCTTTCTTATTTGTGCTGACATGTTTCCCTCATTGTATTTTAAGCAGAAAAAGAGGTTTGATGGTTCACCTAGGTCCTCAAAAATTACTGCATTTTATGGCTTGAAGACACCTCCTTATGAACTTGTAAGTTATTCACACTCCATTTCCTGAATCATATTTTTGTTTGAAGATAATTGTACTGTTTTGGCCTATATGCTTGAATTAGTTGAGGCATCTAATTGAGCAGTAAGCTTATCAGAGAAATAATTGCATAGGTAGTTAAAATGACTATTGCCACTTAAGCCATTATAACGATGAAGAAAGAAACCAGGAATTGCGAAAAAGGAATATTATATTTTACCAAGGGATGAAACAATTACATCCAACCTTCGATGAACTCTAATTTTTATTTATAAATAGTATATTACTAAATGTTACATTACGTAAGTATAAGAACACGATAAAACTTAACGATTAATAGATGTCAATTTGACAAAAGGATCAAAATTTCTTACAGGGATTAAATGTTTCTATTTTAAAATAAAGAAACAAAAATTACGAATCAATAAAATAGAGGGATAAAAAGTACAATTTAATATAAAAATAAATAGGATACATTACATTCTTCTCTCATAATAGATACAAATATTACACTTTACTTGGCTTTTATGTTAAAAATTACAATGTCCTCCTTTAACAAATTTCAATATATGACATTTTACCCATTTTTAATTTTTTTTATTAAAGTTTCAATAACTTTCATTACAAAAAAAAATATTACCAAAATATAATTTACACTAACATCACCTCAAAATAAAATTACATAGTAAATTAAAAGAAAAATCAATCAAAGAGCAAATGTTAATTAAAAATCACTACAATAAATGTTACATATAGTGACATACAAAAAGTGTTACTTAAAAATCTTGTGGATAATGCTTGAATTTGTCTCGAATTTGATAGAGAATACCTAGTTTGACCAAGCATGGGTAAGGATTTTCCCTTCCTATGTTCCCCTTGAAGTGAGGCCCCACCAAATCGCCTCTATAGTGGAGCCTTAAAGGCCCTACTCTGCTCTATTGTGCTACTTGCTATGAGGCCACAATTCTCTTTAGGAATTGTGTGGGCCTCTACCAAAAAAACTACGCTCTCAAGGACACCATTTCAAACCAAGGAAAGGAATGGTATAGGCCTTGACCTCTCCAATTGATGGACCATGGGTCAAGGGCCCAATCACTAGAGCTATGGCTAGGAGTATACAAGAAGAGTTGGATAACTTGAAGACTAGTGGGCTCCCTAAGCCCAAGGTACTCTTCATTTGGACTACTCTATCATGAAAAGGAGGCATAGTTCTAATTGTATATAGTTTGTACATAGATTCCTTGTATAGGCTTATTTTTGTTTTTGTATTTGTGAGACACTTTATTTCATTTTATTAATCATTGTATATTGTTTCTAGGGTAGGTTACTTGGAGACTTTGACTACATTTAACATCATTTTAAGGTATACTCATTTTCTATTTTTCAGTAGTAGAAGTGGGTGGCATTTAGCAATGCTTGAGGGTGTGACTAGCAATTGGGCCTAGGCAAAATTTTACATATTGGACTCATTTTGCTCCTAATTTTTCATAAATTTGACCTAGCTAGGTCTCATCATTTTTGGATGGACCTAACTATACCAAATCAAACATTTTTTAAATTAATTCAAGGAGCCAAAATGGACCAAATTCGCCTAGCTCACCTAGTTCCTCTTGGCCAAAAATTGCTTCTCCTTCTTCAAGCTTGGGAAGCTTGTGCTACAAGCTTCTCCTTAGCTTGCTTCCCAAGCAAGCTAAGTGAGAAGCTTGCTCCACAAGCTTCCTAACTAGCTTGGACGGTCAAGCCAACCAAACCATGGTTCACTTGAACCATGGTTAAGGTTAGCTTGCTCCCTAAGTTACCTCCTTCTATATATTTGTAACTCTAACCTTTTCTCTCACTTTTGATGAATGAAATTCAGATTTTTCACAAGTTCTCTTTTCTCAAAGTCACTTAGAATCCGTGGAAAACAATCTCCTTAGGCTTCTCTCAAAGGTTTTCAACCTTTTTAGCTTGGTCCATCAAGCTTCTTCACCTTCTCAAGGAGTAACCGAACCTCCTTTGGATGTTTCTTCACCATTGAAGATTTCTTCAAGGTGCTTCCGCCACCTCTCCAATTGATGGACCATGGGTCAAGGGCCCAATCACTAGAGCTATGGCTAGGAGTATACAAGAAGAGTTGGATAACTTGAAGACTAGTGGGCTCCCTAAGCCCAAGGTACTCTTCATTTGGACTACTCTATCATGAAAAGGAGGCATAGTTCTAATTGTATATAGTTTGTACATAGATTCCTTGTATAGGCTTATTTTTGTTTTTGTATTTGTGAGACACTTTATTTCATTTTATTAATCATTGTATATTGTTTCTAGGGTAGGTTACTTGGAGACTTTGACTACATTTAACATCATTTTAAGGTATACTCATTTTCTATTTTTCAGTAGTAGAAGTGGGTGGCATTTAGCAATGCTTGAGGGTGTGACTAGCAATTGGGCCTAGGCAAAATTTTACATATTGGACTCATTTTGCTCCTAATTTTTCATAAATTTGACCTAGCTAGGTCTCATCATTTTTGGATGGACCTAACTATACCAAATCAAACATTTTTTAAATTAATTCAAGGAGCCAAAATGGACCAAATTCGCCTAGCTCACCTAGTTCCTCTTGGCCAAAAATTGCTTCTCCTTCTTCAAGCTTGGGAAGCTTGTGCTACAAGCTTCTCCTTAGCTTGCTTCCCAAGCAAGCTAAGTGAGAAGCTTGCTCCACAAGCTTCCTAACTAGCTTGGACGGTCAAGCCAACCAAACCCAAAGAGCAAATGTTAATTAAAAATCACTACAATAAATGTTACATATAGTGACATACAAAAAGTGTTACTTAAAAATCTTGTGGATAATGCTTGAATTTGTCTCGAATTTGATAGAGAATACCTAGTTTGACCAAGCATGGGTAAGGATTTTCCCTTCCTATGTTCCCCTTGAAGTGAGGCCCCACCAAATCGCCTCTATAGTGGAGCCTTAAAGGCCCTACTCTGCTCTATTGTGCTACTTGCTATGAGGCCACAATTCTCTTTAGGAATTGTGTGGGCCTCTACCAAAAAAACTACGCTCTCAAGGACACCATTTCAAACCAAGGAAAGGAATGGTATATGGAGGAGACGAAGGAGGTGACACCGTTTCTTTTTAAACTTTTCTTATGTTGTTTTGGTTTATCATCGAAATTTAATAGAAGGTTTGAACAAACAGCTAGAAAAGGATGATATACTATATGGATACACCTTGGATGAACTAGTCAAAGTGACATACAACAATGGGAATCCGTTCCCCGAATTCAACAATGCAGCTGAGGTACTTATTAGATTGATTGCTCTCTTGGCTTTGATCATTTTAAATTGATTATGAAATTGCTCCCTTATTCATTATAGGCTGTGTAGAGTGACCATTATTGCATCTTTTATTTCAATCAAAACTTGAAAGACATAGCTATTCACTTTTGATTTTATTGAAATTGTGTTTGTTGGAATTAAGGAACAACCTATATGGGATTGGCAAATATCATATGGTTGCGATACTTTAGAGTTTAGTTATATTTATTGATTTCTTTTTAAACTTTTCTTATGTCGTTTTGGTGCTGAATTTTATGCCTGATCATGATGTCAAAAAATTGAGATTTTTGTTATTATGTGTATTTTGTATTGATTGTGAGAAAATATAAGGCATGAAAGTCTTGTATATTTGTTTCTGTCCCTCATTTCGGTAAAAATTGATTGTGTTGGTATGATGATTATTTTAGTCGATAAATGATGAAAGAGGCATACAAACTTTTTATGCCTGATCTTGATGTCAAAAATTCAGACGGTTGTTATTCTATACATTTTGTATTCATCGTGAGAAAATATAGGGCATGAAAGCCCTATATATTTGCTTTTGTCCCTCATCTCGGTAAAAATTGATTGTGTTGGTATGATGATTATTTTAGTCGACATATGATGAAAGAGGTATACGATCTTTTTATGCCTGATTTTGATGTCGAAAAATTGAGATGGTTGTTATTAGATGCATTTTGTATTGATTGTGAGAAAATATAGGGTATGAAAGTCTTATATATTTGTTTCTATCCCTCATCTCTGTAAAAAATGATTATGTTAATATGCTGATTATTTTAATCGACAAATGATGAAAGAGGTATACGAACTTTTTATGTCTGATCCTGATGTCAAAAAATTGAGACGGTTGTTATTATATACCTTTTGTATTCATTGTGAGAAAATATAGGGCACGAAAGTTCTATATATTTGCTTCTGTCCTTCATCTCGGTAAAAATTGATTATGTTGGTATGATGATTATTTTAATTGACATATGATGAAAGAGGTATATGAACTTTTTATACCTGATCCTGATGTCAAAAAATTGAGAGGTTGTTATTTGATACATTTTATATTCATCGTGAGAAAATATAGGGCATGAAAGTCCTATATATTTGCTTTTGTCCCTCATCTCGGTAAAAATTGTGTGTTTGTATGATGATTATTTTAGTCGACAAATGATGAAAGAGGTATACGATATTTTTATGCCTGATCCTGTTGTCGAAAAATTGAGACGGTTGTTATTGGATGCATTTTATATTGATTGTGAGAAAATATAGGGCATGAAAGCCCTATATATTTATTTCTGTCACTCATCTCGGTAAAAAATGATTGTTAATATGATGATTATTTTAGTCGACAAATGATGAAAGAGGTATACGAACTTTTCATGCTTAATCTTGATGTCGAAAAATTGATACGGTTGTTATTCGATACATTTTGTATTCATTGTGAGAAAATATAGGGCATGAAAGCCCTATATATTTGCTTCTGTCCCTCATCTTGGTAAAAATTGGTTGTGTTGGTATGATGATTATTTTAATCGATATATGATGAATGAGGTATATGAACTTTTAATACCTTATCTTGATGTCTAAAAATATATAGGGTTGTTGTTTGAAACATTTTGTATTCATTGTGAGAAAATATAGGGTATGAAAGTCCTATATATTTGCTTCTGTCTCTCATCTTGGTAAAAAATGATTGTGTTAATATGATGATTATTTTAGTCGACAAATGATGAAAGAAGTATACGAACTTTTTATGCCTCATCTTGATGTCGAAAAATTGAGACGACTGTTATTCGATACATTTTGTATTCATTGTGAGAAAATATAGGGCATGAAAGCCCTATATATTTGCTTCTGTCGCTCATCTCGTTAAAAATTGATTGTGTTGGTACGATGCTTATTTTAATCGACATATGATGAAAGAGGTATATGAACTTTTAATACCTTATCCTG